CGGGCTTTCTCTGGCTCGACCCTGTATTAAAGGTATATGTCCAGTACAGTGTAATGTGTGTGGACAAGGCGATTGTCACAGAGGTATCCAACCAGTCGAAGTGTACACGAGAACATGGATTGAAGCAAGGCGAAGGAACAAGACAGAACAAGACAGAAGGAGGGAAGTGGAACGACCGAGGTCAAGAAGGAAAATGGTACCGATCCAGGGAGATCGCTCCCATTTATAGCAGGTGGAAACACACACACACAGTGGAGACAGAGAATGGACTATCACACTGAAGACAGGTGGAAGCGATATCAGCAATCTGTTGGGACCAACAGATGCCACAACAAGATGATACAGCAAGATGGTACAGCAAGATGTTACACAACAAGGTGGGACAACATCAAGTACCAAAGGACACACTACGTGGTAAAGTATACCGTCTCAGATTGTGCCTCTAATAAAGTATACCGTCTCAGATTGTGCCTCTAATACTCCCCTTCAAGCTGAGAACGGAAGAGCATGTCACACAAACGACGATGGCTCGGTCCATTGAGCAGCTTGGTGAGAAGGTCAGCAACCATGTCCTTGGTCCCGCAGAACTGGACATCGAGCTGGTTGCGTTCATACCTCTCTTGCACAAAGCGATACTTGACAGCAATGTGCTTGGAGCCCGGAGAGTTGGCTCCGTTTGTAATCATGTGGATCGCCGCCTGGTTGTCACTGAACAACACGGGCTTGAAGACGGCGTGTGAGAGTTCACGAACCAAATGATCAACAAACATAGTCTCGCTGGCCGCAGAGTAAGCAGCCATAAACTCAGCTTCAGCAGTAGACGTGGCAGTGACCTTCTGCAGCTTGGAGCGCCACTGCACGGGTCCACCAGCGAGGTAGACAATGCAGCCTTCACGAGACTTACGACCAGTTTCTTGAGCAAAGCTCGCATCAGTGTAGGTCGTGAGGCGAAGGTGCTGGCCAGACCGATAAGTCAGACCAAGGTCCTTCGTGCCCTTGACATAGCGGAGCAGGTGCTTGGCAGCGTTCCAATGCTCTACGGTGTAGCAGCTGGCAAAGGAGCCCAGCATGCTGACAGCGGTGGCAATGTCAGGGCGAGTGTGAGTCATGAGGTAAATCAGTTTGCCCAAGAGCTCACGGTAAGGGATCGACGGGTCAATGTCGGTACTCCCCTTGTCGAGGCAAATGCCTGGACTCAATGGCATCGGCGCGGGCTTGGCATCGGTCATGTGAAAAGTAGCCAAGATATCGTCGATGTACTTTGTCTGCTTGATGGTCATGGTATCACCGTTGCGTGCAAACTCCATGCCCAG